TGTTATTTTTTATTTTACCTTACTGGCCCTTGGAGGCATTTAATTTCAATACCCCAATGAATAAAGTATATAAAGCCCTGAAAGTAAGTTTGCCAAATAAAATACATGGTGCCCAGTTCAATTTGAATTTTAGATAAACAGTGTAAAAAATTAGTATAAGAATGTTACATGCAGTATTTGTCACAAATTTGTATTAAAAATCATTCATTTTTTACTTGCAATTCAAATTTAACTGAGCATCCTTATTTTTATTTTCTAAATCTGGCAACCCTACCCGGAGGGGATGACTGAGGCGACCAGGAATGGAACTTGTGTTCCTCATTTTGCAGATGACAAAACAGTCTTAAACAGGGAAAATGATGAGCCATGACCTAGGTTTTCGGTGGTTTCTTTGGGTCCATGTCTGAGGCTCCCAGAAGCTCCATCCAGTGTCTTCTCTCCATCAACACACAGTTCTGCCACTTTTCAAGTCTTCTCCTACCTCTGACAGCTGAATGTAGAATGGCTTCAGAGAAGTGGGGGACAGCAGCGTGACTAGCAGCGTGACTAAGTGTTCTACAGGGAAAGTCAATAAGAGACAGGTGGCATGTGGGTTGCTGGGTTTTCTCTTCCCACTCCTTCCAGCTCTGCATCCCTGCTTCCTTCTCCCTCCAGAGACCTGGGAAACCCCCTCCCTTGCTGATGGAGGCTTCTCCCAGGCTTCCTGCCCCTGCTCTAGCAGGGCTGGGTCCTGTCCCAGGCTGACCTGGCTGTCCAAGGCAGAAGGAAGGTGTAGGCGGCTCAAGGCTTTATTAGCCACCAGTCCTGCATTCTGACCAGGCCAAGACTAGACTGGCTTTTGAATCAGGGAACTTGGGAGCCAGAGCCACACAGCATGGGAGATGAGCAAATGTCCAGGCTGGGATTCTCTGCCCTCACTAACTTGGGCCCTCCTTGGAGAACCTATCAACTAAATACCTGCCCTGAATTTCCTAGAATTTTCACAACATCTCAGGAGGTAGTATCTATTATTCCCATTTAGAGATTTGGCCACTGAGGTTCAGGGGATTTCCCTAAAACCCTTGAAGTAAGATATTGATAGTATTAAATCCTTGGTCCATGTGTCTCTGAAGAAGCCTGACATTAATTCCACTAGGTCCAGAGCTAATCCATCCTGTTGGCATGAGCAAGAACGTTAGGATAGCATAGTCCACGCAGCATAGTGGTTCTCAAAATGTGATCCCTAGGCATCAGCATCACCTAGGCACTTGTTTATTGTTGTTGTTCAGTCACTAAGCTGTGTCTGACTTTGAAATGCAAATTCTTGGGCCTGATTCCAGAACTTCTTAAGAGATTCTGGGGGTGTTACTTGGCAATCTGGGTTTCAATATGCCCTCCAGCTGATTCTGATGCACTCTAAAGTTTGAGAAGCTGGTATGTAGTAGAAAGTGATGCATTTTTGGAATAAAATGAATATACATTTAAAACATATTTGCTTTACATAAACTTTTCTTGATACATAATACACAGAAAAATACATAAATCATAAATATGCAGCTCGATGAATGTTCACAAAGTGAACCTGCCAGTGTACCAGCACTCAGATCAAGACACAGAACATTTTTGCCAGCCCCCCAAACCCCCTTTTGGGCCTCCTTCCTGTTTTTACTTCCTCTTAAAGGTAACCACTAGGCTTCCCTGGTGGCTTAGACAGTAAAGAATCCGCCTTCAACGTGGGAGACCTGGGTTTGATCCCTGAGTTGGGAAGATCCCCTGGAGGAGGACATGGCAACCCATTCCAGTATTCTTGTCTGGGGAGTCCCGTGGACAGTGGAGCCTGGCCGGCTACAGTCCGTGGGGTCACAGAGTCAGACACAACTGAGTGACTAAGGACAGGGGTAATCACTATCCTGACTTCAAACACTGTACATTAGTTTTGCATAACATTATATAGTTGAAAAATCATATATGAAGACAGAATCTGGTGCCGGAGGACTTCTGTTGAATCCCTGGTTCCTGGCTGAGTGATCTTGGACCACTTATCTAATTTGCTTGAGACTCATTTCCCTCTTTGTATAATGGACATAAAAATGTTTGTTTTAGTTGCTAAGTTGTGTCCAACCCCATGGATTGTAACCTGCCAGGCTCCTCTGTCCACTGGATTTCCCAGGCAAAAATATTGGAGTGGGTTGCCATTTCATTTTCCAGGGGATCTTCCTGACCCAGGGATCAAATCTATAACTCCTGCATTGGTGGATTCTTTACCACTGAGCCACCTGGGAAGCCTGGGCATAAAAATACCTCATACTTTAAAGGTACACTGCGTTCTGTCTAGTGTTAAGAATCACCTGGGGCACTAGTTAAAAACCCACATTCTGCAGAGCATGTGTTCTCAATAGGACAAAAATTGTGGGGGTGCAGAGGACATTAAAATACATGTGTGTTTAAAAAATTTGTTTTGTTTGCATGCCCTTCTCGGCTTGCAAGGATCTTAGTTCCCAGGACATGAATTGAACCTGTACCCTTGGCTGTGAGTATACAGAGTCCAGTGGTTAACTGGATTGCCAGGGAATTCCTCCCCACTCAAAATTTTTTTGGTAAAAGCTCAGATACATGGTACTTAAATTGACAAAAAGTATATTTGTGACATTAAAATTTCATGAGGGAATTTAGGGAAAAAATGTCTAGTAGGACTTCGCTGGTGATCCAGTAGTTAAGACTCCATGTCCACTGTAGGGGGCATGGGTTTGATCCCTATTGGGGGAACTGATTCCAAATGCAGAGTAGCACGGCTCAAAATAAAAAAAAGTGTAAAATTGTTCCTTACCAAGATGATAATTCCGAAAAAGGTGACAAACACTGCCCTACCACAGTGATTGTCCAAGTGTGGTTTGTGGTCAAAAATGCAAGTACTGTGGTCAGACCTCAGAGCTACTGAATTGGAAATTCTGAAGGTGGAGCCCAGCGGTCTATGGTTTAAGTCCTCCAGGTGATTCTGATGGGCACTGAAGTTTGAGAACCACAGCACTAGATAATGTGAATGGGGTAGGGTTACAGGAATCTGTATCTTTAACATGCTTTTCTAAGGTACATTGCAGGAAACACTGACATGGAGGACTTGAAAGTACTTTGAAAAGTGTGACTTTCTAAATGGTAAAATACTCTTATTAGGAGGAAACATGCTAAACAGTAATAGCAAAGGTCACTGATTACTAAGCACTTAGTTGTGCCTCTGAGTTTACTTGCACAGCCTATTAATTCTCACAATCAATCTATGAAGGAAGAGGTTGGACTCTGAAACCAGACTGCCTGGGTTCTTATCCAGCTTGTGACTTGGTTTGTGCATCTGTAAAGTGAGGAAAATGAAGGTAGTTCCCTCATAGATTCGTTGTGAGGATTAAAGGGGCTTATTGATCAGCTCTAAGAACACCTGCCATGTTGGCACCACTTACGTGTAAGCTATTTTCATCATCCCTAAGCGCACACTGTTAAAAGGTGGTTCAGTTCAGTTGCTCAGTCATGTCCGACTCTTTGCGACCCCATGAATTGCAGCACACTAGGCCTCCCTGTCCATCACCAACTCCCAGAGTTTACTCAAACTCATGTCCATCGAGTCGGTGATGCCATCCAGCCATCTCATCCTCTGTCGTCCCCTTCTCCTCCTGCCCCCAATCCCTCCCAGCATCAGGGTCTTTTCCAATGAGTCAACTCTTCAAATCAGGTGGCCAAAGTATTGGAGTTTCAGCTTCAACATCACTCCCTTCAGTGAACACCCAGGACTGATCTCCTTTAGGATGGACTGGTTGGATCTCCTTGCAGTCCAAGGGACTCTCAAGAGTCTTCTCCAACACCATAGCTCAAAAGCATCAATTTTTCGGCGCTCTGCTTTCTTCACAATCCAACTCTCACATCCATACATGACCACTGGAAAAACCATAGCCTTGACCAGATGGACCTTTGTTGGCAAAGTAATGTCTCTTCTTTTTAATATGCTATCTAGGTTGGTCATAACTTTCCTTCCAAGGAGTAAGCGTCTTTTAATTTCATGGCTGCAGTCACCATCTGCAGTGATTTTGGTGGAATTAAATCCAATCAATGTAACTCCTGAGTGTAGCTTCTTAAGGACTAAGCTACAGTTCAGTGGTTCTCAAAGTGTGATCTCCTATTAGTAGCACATCAGAGAACTTGTTAGAAATGCAAATTATTAAAATAATTAGATCTTATCCCAGGTCTGCTGAATTAGAAACTCTGGGGGTGGGACCCAGTGGTCTATGTTTTAACAAGCCCTTCAGGTGATTCTGATGCACACTAGAGTTTTGGATCCGTAGCTATTACACTCTTGAGAGGTTCTGGTGTGAGACGAGGAGGGTTTTTTAAAAAGCCTAGAGGTACTGGGAGTATTCCAAGAGTCCCTCCCACCTAGCTAAATGCAAGCTCGAATTTAGCTGCGCTCACCAGCCTCTGCTAGCTCTTCCTGCCGGCAACTGGTTAGTGAGCAAGGGCTTCTGGGCTTGTAGTTCTGATAGCGCCGGAGCTGGAGGCGCCTGCGCGTTGGCCGCCAACTCGTTCTAGTAGCTGTGGTCAGGGCTCGGGACCGGCTGCCATCTTAGTCGAGGGACTGAAGAGTAGCCGCCGCCCCGAGTCCCGGTAAAAACCCGCGGGCGGACTGGAGGCAATTTTGGGGAGAGGGAGAGTCCTGGATGAACATGTCGGAGGCGAGCGAGAGGTAGAGGAGTGCGGCGCGTCAGCCGGGACCCCAGAGCCGTGGCTGCTTCCTCTTCCCTCAGAGCCGGTGCCCGTGGGGGGCGCGGGGAGCTCGGGCTAGTGGTAGGGGCCGGGCGGAGGGGTGGCGGGGGTGGGCCGTCTGGAAGCCCCGAGCGCCCACTGTTGGGCTTAGACGTTCGGAGCCCCTCGCCTCGCGGGCGCCAAGTTCTGAGAAAACTGGGCCCCAGCGGGGCCCCCGGGGTCTAGCCCAGAGTCCGTCAGCCCCGCCCGGGGGGCTACGCTCCCCGCCGCCCGGCCTACGCGAGGGGCCCCGCGGCAGCGGCCGGGGCGGGCGACGTGGCCCTGCGAGGGGCGGCGGCCGGGCCCACCTGCCACCCGCTGCCCTTCCCGAGACTTTTTGGAGCCCCCACTAGCGAGAGGGGCCAAGTATAGCCGCTGCCTCTCTTCTCTCTTCCGCTCCCCTCTCTCGGTCTATTGTCCCCCAGCGTGGTGGTCCCGGCCCCGGCGTCCTCCTCCGCGCCCGCCGCCGCCGCCGCAGCGTCCCCGCCGGCGCCTCCCGGCGCCGAGTTTTGCAGACGTGGAGCTGTCACTGCCCTTCCTTCTGAAAGTGCCCTTTTCTTTAGCGGAGAGAAGAAAAAAGTAGTCGTGATGAGGACAGGATTTAGTGGGGAGTAAGTGGGGAAATCAAGTTCTTAGACTTTGCTTCGGACTGCGCCGTAGAGCGAAACACATGATCTCTGCGCCCCAGGTAGACGCTGGGCCTTAGCGATGTAACCTGGTGGATTTGCAAACTACCCGAAATCCACGATTCTCCAGTAACAACTCACCTTGTTTTCTTGCTTATATTTGTATCTTGTTAGATTTTCCGCTGTTATTCTACAGCTTTAGTATATTTTGGGGGAGTGAGGGGTGGGGAAGGGAGAGAAATTGCAGGGAATTTTATTCTGAAAATTAACGAGGCACTTGAGCCAGCCATCTATCACTGTACTTAGAATCTTGCATATATTACTAATATAATTAGATCTTAGGGAAGTACTAGAGACAGTGTATTTCTACCCTCAAAATGGGTTAAGGACTTGTTTCTCGGCCGAAATAAAGTTCTCAGAGCAGGTCTAGTGAGAGTCTTCAACGTGTGTTCATAGGTTTACTCAGGTTACAGTTACTTCATTTTTAAGATTTAGAAATGAAGGTGGAAATTCACCTGCTGTTTTGAACAGTGGATATAAGTTTTTTGGGTGTGAGTCCAAAAGGAATTCCTTCATCTTCAGCATATGAGTCAAGTCAACAAGGATATGATATGAAATAAAGAAGTGCAGGATACTTCCTGAGTGTATTCTAGAGTAAATCATTTTTCCATTACTTAAAGAAACATCTTTACACCAATTGGAAGAGACAAACCAGTAGCCCCCCAATTTGGTCATTAGAATAATCAGGGCAGCTTTTTTGAAAGTAGAAATTTCAGAGCCTTATTTCTTGAGATTGATTTAATATGTTTGGGTTAGCCTTGAGGATTAAAACTTGCCTCAGGCAATTCTGATGGTTTTGGAAACCATTGAGACAATACTTTGAATGAGCCAAAAGCTTTGAGATGGAAGAGGAAGTAACCAGTTGTGTCTGATTGATTTGAGGAGGAAGAATCTGCTTCAAGCTGAAGTTGGGTCTTCACTGAAGTTCACTGTTGGTTCTTACCTGAAGTTTTATTGTGATGGAGAAAGGGAAGGACAGGGCAGACAGCAAACACTTCAATACTGTTAGTAAACACAGGATTGTGGAAGATAAAAGAGAGCAGGGAGTGGATGGGGGAAGGAGAGCATTATGGATGTGAGGCAAAAAAAAAACAAACCTTGTTTTATGTTGTTAGCAATAGATGCAGATTTTTAAACAGGAAAATGATATTGAGTATATGTTTGCTTTAGGAAGATTGCTTTGTGACAAGAGTGAAAGGATGGAAGAGTGGCTGTTGCAGTGGTTTAGGTGAGAAGGGAAAGGCTTGTCCTCATTGAGAGGCTGTGGGCATGATCAAGGGATTAAATTTAGTTCTTTACTAGTGCAATATTGTCCTATTTTTGTATGAGGATTTCTTTAGTGCCAGTCCTGGTAAAAGGTTCATTTTCTGTCAAAAGAACCAATTAGCAAATCAGAATAATATTGCTAGGTTATATATGTTAGTGGTATCAGGATTTGTTGTTAGCATCCTTGATCAGGTGCAATTTATAGAATTTAGAGATTAGACTGAAATTTATGGCTATCAATGCTGTTGATTTATGAGCTTGTTGGGAAGTGTTGTTTCTCCCACTCTCAGAAACTTGGTTTTAGAGTTGGGGGACTCCCCTGGTGGTCCACTGGCCAAGACTATGCTCTTAATGCAAGGGTCCTGTGTTCGATCCCAGGTCTGAAAACTGGATCCCACATACTGCAACTAAAGATCCTGCATACTGCATCTGAGACCCAGCACAGCCAAATAAATAAATAATACATATTAAAAGAAAGAGTTGGAAGAGATTGTAGAGATTATCTAGTCCACAGTAGCAGATATATTTCGTTTTATGGGCCAACTTCACTTGAAGTAGCTGCCAGAAGCCCTGTGTTGAGAAGGATTTTAATCATAAGGGTTCTCTGGGAAAGTGAGTTATGATTGATTAGTGATGACTCCTGTGGACACTGGTTATCTAGTGGTTAGTATCTCATATGTGCCAGGTATATGCTATTCTTGGACTAGTCCAACCTTTTCTGTTTTTTTTTTTAAACAATCAGAACTAAAAGTAGAACCAAGTTTTGTAACTCTTAGTCTGTTCTCCAGTGTACCAAGATGAATGTGTACTACTAAAGAGCTTTTGGAATTAGACCAAAAGAAAAAAAGTATTTCTAGCCTGTGCCTCTTGACTGTTTAGTTAAGAGTTTAACAAGGAACTTTGGCCTAGAAGTGAGTTGTATTCATTCTGGCTTAGGAAATTTGTGTTTATAGTCACAGAAAAATAGCCACCCTCCTCCGCCTTTTCTTGTTCCTCACCCTTCTCTGTTTTGGGTTTAGGGGATTGGTTTCTTCCATGTTGCGGGGATAGCCCTTACTGTGACCTCAAAAGGTAGAGTATGTATTTATATGGCCATCCTCATTTTGCCATGTAGCTGTATGCAGGTGGGGAGTTACCCTATAGTATGCGTTAAGTTAAGGCAAAAGTGTATTAAAGACACCCCCCCCCCCGTATTTATAGCACCTAGCTAAATTTTGGGCTTATAATATGCACTCAGTAAAGTCATGTTGATTTTCGTGGCTGTAAATGATACTGGCTTTGAGTCAATAGAAGTTAGCAAGTGGGGTTGAAGAATTGAATTGCAACATTCTCTCACTGAGAGGTCAGCCCTCTGCTAAAAATGTTGGACTGGAAACTAGCCTCACAACTAGAAGTAGTTAACCAGAAGCTGTTCCTTTTTTCTGTCCTCTTTCAGTCTAGCAGTGTACTGTCCTTGGAGGACAGTACTGCTGCCAGCTCAGCTCTTTGCTTCTTTACAGAATTGACTATACTCAGATCCTTGGAGTACTTTTTTCTTTTTGTATCCCTAGGAGCTTCCAAGTTGCAGGCATAGTCCTTACTGTGACCTCAAAAGGTAGAGTATGTATTTATATGGCCATTCTCTTTTTGCCATGTAGCTATACGCAGGTGGGGAGTTACTCTATTGTATGCGTGAGTCATTTTCTTCCCAATTTAACCTTTTTATCCTGCCTGCTCCATCAAAAATTATCTATCCTATGAAACTTTTTAAAGGACATTGTGCTGTCCTATTCCAAAGGTCATTGCTGATCTGATGTATTTAACCATAGGAGTAATGTGTTAATGGACCCTCCTTCTTTCTCAGGTAACATGCATTTAACTGTGGCCTTCTGGAGACAGCGCCTTAATCCAAAGAAGTGACTTCAAACGGTGAAAACTTCAGGTATGTTGGCATGCCTGTGAGAGAGAGTGGGGCTCAGAAATGGTGCTGAGGGTGAGTTCTGGTCCTGTTAACAGCTGAGGAAATTATGGGGAGAGACCAGTGTTGATGCTGGCTACATCACTTGGTTGAAGACATAGTTTCCATTTGGGTCTGAAACCCAGAGCTGCCTCTACAAGGATTAGCCTGTGAGCTACATTGTATTCTTAATTTGGGTCCTTTGACTGTTCTGTTTTTCTAGCTTCCCTATACAGTCATACACTTTTCTGACTTGTGCTATTTTAGAAACATTTATCTCTATACTTGTCCATACATGTGCACCTATATGGTTAAAATGTATAGGAATTAAAAAGAAAACAATATAGTTCAAAAGAAAAAGAATAGAGGACTTGGAAAGAAAAGGTCTGGGTTCTGATTTGATTAACAATTAAACTTGATTGTTGGCAAAGTATTTAATCTTGGCAAGACTCAGTTTATATATCTGTAAAATAGTTATGTTGAATTCTGCCTGCCTCCCTGGCATTGCTGTGAGGATCAAATAAAATAATACATATTAAATCCTTAGAAAAAAGCGAATTCCCATCTTAAGTCATTATGCAGATCTATAAGGTGGGAGGAGTTGGCAGTAATATTGAAAAGGAAAACAGGACAGGACAGATTCATCTTAAAAGATCAGGAGAGAAAAAAAAAAAGACCAGGAGGAAGAAAAGGAAGTCTGCTGGTTAAGAGAAAAAGTAGAGCACAGGAAAAGTCAAGCAGTAAGAGAATAGGGAGTGAATGAAGTAGAGCACATGAATTGGTTGGTGAGAAAGCTGTATAGGAAAGAGGATCCTTTTCATTTGCTTAACCTTAACCTTGCAACTGTTATTACCACATCTCTTCATATAAGGGTCCCATCCGAACTTAAGCTTCTTGTCCCCATTGTAAAATCATAGTAAAATTGTGTGACCCTGTATGTTTAGTTTATATTTTTGTTAACAAATTGCCTTATAAATGCCAAGAGACCAAGGCTATGGCTTGCTTATTATGGTATCCCAGGCCAGTGCTATAATCAAATGTGTGATTAATCTGTGGGTTTTTGTTTTTTTTTTTTAATAATTACGAAGAGAAAAGGAGATGGTAGATGCTTTGTGAGATACTAGAGAAAGGAAGTGGATAAGAGGAAAAGTAGATAAATCAGAGGTGGTGAGAGGAAGAATTCTCAGAGGATAATGAAAGGAAAGACATGAAAATGAAAAAAGTATGTAGAACAACAGGGGGAAAGATGGTGTTATCTACAATGATTGGAACAAGGCAAATTTCATATCTTTAGTAATGATGTAATACCTCACAAAAAGTTATGTACTGGGGAAGATCATCCTCCATACCAAATATCTTTAAAATTTTAAAAGTATCCATTTCATCCTGAGCTCACAGAGTAGTTCTTTGTGGAAAGAAAACTGGGCCAGCATTCAGGAAATATGTGTTCTGGCCTTGAAATTGCTTGTTACTTAATTTCTGTGATCTTCAGCAATTGGCTTGAATCTCTGGACTGCATACCTTTCTAGGTATGAACATGGTGCTTTCTTCTTCCAGCTCTTTGATTATTCTTTGTGCTGCTTATGCCAGCTCACCAATTTTTTAGGGCTTTGTTGATACAATGTGGGACTGGTCTCAGAAATACCTTATAATAGGACTTCAAAGCATCCATTGCTTTATAAATGAGAAGCCATTTTAAATTCTACTTTATTTTTTATTTTTAGCTGGGCCATGTAGATTGTAGGATCTTTATTCCCCCTGCGGTGGAAGCTCGGAGTCCTAACCATTAGACCCACCAAGGAATTCTCTTTCTGCTTTACTCATTGGTTGAGAGACCTGCAGGAAACCTAAGTATAGAAATGCTGAGCTTGTAATATTAAGCAAGAGTGTATTGAGCCCTGTTATGCTAGTTCCCAAGGGATACTCTATCTCAAGGATTTTATGTTGTTGTGAGAAAGATAAAACTGTTCACTAGTAATTATTGTAAAAAAGCAAGATGATAAATGCTGTAATAAGGATTTCATTGCATTTCAGTTTAAGATGTTTGGATTTCTTGGTTCCCTTATTATAACTGAATATATGCTAACTGCAGGGACTCATGGAAAAAAGCAGTCCCTGCCCTCAAGAAACTTAATTTTTTTCATGTCTGCACACTGTTTACTCTCATAGGTATATCCTTCTACCCCAAGAAAGAGAAGAGTTTTGTGCTGTATCATCACTTTGTAGTTTTGAACTAAGGAGTCATGTCATTATTGAGCTTACCTTACTCCAGAAATAGTCTGATAACAAATATATAGTTTGATTGGATTCCCTAATATTTCAGTTACAGAGAAAGTTTTCTTTTAAGGCGAGGAAAAAAATTCAAAAATGCCATCTGCGTTTAGGTGAACTGTGGTTTGCTTCTTAGTCATTTGTGCAAAGAAAAAATAAGCTGTAAAATTTCGTCTCTTTGAGTCTTCATTCCAGGCAGTTAATTCAGTTGGTCACAGAAGAAAGGATGGTAGTCTAAAGGAATCATATTGTAGGGATTAACAGTGTTCCCTGGAGTTAGACTGTCTGATTTTGAATTCTCACTGTACCTTGAGTACTGGCAATGTGACCTTGGCTGAGTTGCTTCACTTCTCTGTGCCTTAGTTTTCTCATTTATAAATCAAGAATAATAATCGTGTATATCCATAGGGTTGTTGTGTGGATTAAATGAGAATATATTTTTGCTTGAACAATAGTTGGTTCACAATAAAGCAGGAAATGTTAATTGCCAGTGTTGTTATCATTATCACATTATCATCATCACCAACCTTGTCTGTCTTAAAATTATCATCTTAATTTATTCATTCATTCAGTAAATTTATATAAGGGGAGTACTGTAAAGTCAGATGCCTACAAGGGCTAGATTTAAATAGTAATGGTAGAGCAGATTGGGACTTAAGTGATTTAGGGAATTCATGTTACTCCAGTGGGGCAGCTGTTAGGCAGATTTGGTTTACTTTTTTTAAAAAATTGAGGTGAGATTTATCATTTTAAAATATATAATTCACTGTTGGCTCACTATCGATCTGGCAGGGGGTAGGACAGGAGGCATATAGATGAAGTGTGACCTGAACATCTTTTTTATGAAGAGAAGCTGGAATTTCAGATTTTGTGAGAAATTTTTATTTTTAAATGTTGGCAATGTAATGAATTCATAAAAATGCTGTGAGCCAGACAAATTTACCACCATGGACAGACTTTGTCTTGTGGGCTGCTGTTCTATAACCTCTCATCTGGAGCTTGACTTTTTGCAGCATGACCCATGTTCACTGCCCTCTGGGAAGAGAGTCCTTATTCACATAGAGATTTTTAAAGTTCAAGCGATACCTTACTGCTATCTAGGGCTGAATGAGGCATGAACAGAAAATTAAAGCAAAGAGGAGGAGGGAAGTTATTTAAAACTGGGATTTAGAATGGGAACATGGCAGGAATGAACTTAAGATGGTGAAAGAAAGTGCAGTGAATTTAAATTAATCTGAAGAGGGCTTGTGTGGTCCCAGTAAGAATAGAAAGTTTAGAAAAATTAAGAGACCAATGTAGGGGTAAAATAATTTCTCTTCTTCCCTTTCAGGTTCTTTGACTGGTCTAACAATTGCTATAAGACAGGTTAACAAGAGAAAAACAAATTTCCTAAATACATTATGGGAGCCTCATAAAACTGAGACCCAAAAGGCAGCCATAATAGGGGCTTATATAAACATCCTGAGCCTTATAAGAAAAAGGGGTAGGGGGTGGTGATACAAAGAGAAGAGGAGAGGAGATGTTTGGGAAATAAAGGTTGCCCTGTTACTTAGTTAAGTTTATTTTCTTTCTTTCTAAAATCATTTATTTGGCTGTGCTGAGTCTTAGTTGCTGCATCAGAACCTTTTAGTTGTAGCATGGGAACTCTTAGTTGCAGCATATGGGATCTAGTTTCCTGACCAGGGATCAAACCCAGGCCCCCTGCATTGGGAGTGTGGAGCGTTAGCCACTGGACCACCAGTAAAGTCCCTGCAGTTAAGTTTCTTAAGTAAAAAGATATTTTCTGGTAATAATTTTCTTGGTACAGGCCTCTTTTCCAGTGTAAATGTA